AATGAAAATGATCTAGGGTTATAGCTATCTATCAATCCTACTGTAATTCTTCAATTGAATTGACTGACTAATTTATCTATCTTAATGGTTGACAGGGTTAATATTGCTCATAAGTATCTGTCGAGTTCTTACTCGCTTATTCAAGCTAAATGTCACGCCCCAACCTCGGGAGGCGCGACCGGCGCTCAATTGAGTGAACCCAACTGAGCAAGCCATTTGAACACTTTCTACCCAACTCAATACGATTAAGGAAACCATGCTTTTGTTTATTTAGACAATAGGAAAGATCGTACATTCAACATTGTTAGTTCATTTTATATCACAAACCTTAAACCATGGTTAAGTTTCCAAGATTTCATACAGTTACACTTTAGAAGAACTAGAGTTTAGAATTACAACACAATTCATTGACCCATCCAACACCCGTACATAACCCACACAAATGTCTACAGAGCCTCTAAGGATACAAAAGACAGTTATGATAATGCCGGCAACAAGGCCCCGGCTATACCTCAAAAGTGGAAATCTATAACAAAAATACATACTGCATCACCCCTGAAAGAAAAGGGGCTCACCAAGATTTGCTGAGTTAAGGATGCTCCGCTATCTACGATCGGCACTGTCTGCTATGGAGCCACCTACATCCACTGAAAGATGTAGCGCCCCCGGCAAAAGGGATATTAGTACCATGGAATAGTACTAGTATGTATAACTAAAAACTATCTCATTAGAAAGAACTATCATACAAGGATAAGGAAATCACAAGTATAAATCAAAAGCTTTAAACGGTCACCACAACATCAAATAAAAGAATCATATAACTGTCACATAATTTCCATGGCTTTAGGTTGGGGCATTTAATACTATTCATCATCATTCATAATACCACCGCTTTCTTGTGCGGAGTCCTATCACAACCTGATCGGCTAGGTTGCCTCATTTGAGACATATACCTCTATCACAATCTCATACTCACTTTCCGGATTCAATTTCAGCACAATACCACCATGTGTGCGGTATGGCGTCCGATCACGGCCCGATCGGCTAGGCCAGCATACCAAGACGTTGTTCCTTTTTCATTAATCATCTCATCTCAATCTTTAGTCCACATATATCAATTCGAAGGCACTTGGGGCCACAATTATCACATCATTTCCAATTTCATTGTTAACTTTGCAATTTAGTATAATAGGCACATACAAGAGCAATTTAAATGGTAAGCATAGATGAGATTTCACATAGTTGGCATGACAATCTCAGTTTCAATCTTGATCTGAGGTCTATGCATTTCAACACATGATTCATATTCTTCGCACATCTTCAAATTATCAAGAATAGTACATTGCACACATTGAGGCACACCTTTCACGTATATATAATTGCAAAACCAGTTCACATGAAATAACAATCAATACATCAATCAAATTTTAGTCTTACACATTTGCATAGACGCCAATGGAGCTCAATTTCTAAGAAGAGGGGGTTTTAGCCATACATACCTCAATGGAGCTTTTTCTTAGATTCTTACAATATTTTCGGAACTCCTAGCAACTTTGATCTATTTATGAGAATCACAAGTTGAACCAAAAATTAGAGACAAGATTTAGATTCTAGCTCATTCGAGTATGTTATCAAGCACTATGTTTAGGATCCTTTTGTGAGAGATTTTAATCATCTTACACCCCAATTGCTATCTTTTTTACTCACAACCTCCCCATACACTATTTTCACTCATGCATGCAAGATTATTAATCCTTATACCCATGAAACCACTTGTTAATCACTTAATTTAATAGAAATTTCGAAATCATAGATTAGGACACAAGTTCTTACCTCTTAGGATGAAGACCTAGTAATTTCACTTGACACTCTTCAAGGATTTGGGGCAAGAATTGAGTAGAAGCTTGGTGGGGATCACTTTCTCCCTCTAGAACTCTTGCTCTCACTCTAAATGCAGTAGAAAATAGCATAAAAGAGTCTAATGGGGTGTTCTTAATGGGAGGGGGTCGGGTTTCAAAAGTTAGAAAATAGGAGCCCCGACACCATCTGCGATCGCATCGCATAATTGACATGCGGCCCGCAAAAAGGACCACAAAATGGCCCCCAAAACTTGAACAAACTGCCCGGGTATGCGACAAGAATGCGGTCTGCATACCTGTTCTGCGGTCGCATAATGCACCGCAGAACTGCCCCTCGCAAAATTCCAAGTGGATTATGCGATGACTATGCGGCCCACATATTGGTTATACGATCGCATAATTGGCCGCATAACTGACTTCAAAACTAACCAGCATACTGTTTCACTCTGCGGCGACTATGCGGTCCGCATAGCTATTATGTGACCGCATAATGGACCGCAAAAATGCGCTTTTCTGAAAAACATTATTCCTTAACTTTTAAATGCACAGATCAATCCAAAAGGTCCGAAATTTTATGAATTTCTAACACATATTCCTAACTTGGCACTACGAGGGTTTGAGGTTTTGAGCAAAAATTGACGGGGCCTTACACTAACCTAACACCTATATGTCTATGGAGTTAGAACTAACAAGAACGCATTTATAATTCCTGTACACTAACCAAGTAAGGCAATTAGGTATATGTCTATCCTAACCGCGAATCCGTTTCCCGATGCCTAGGTTCAAGAACTTGCTCTACTCAATCCTATATGCAATCTAGAATTCCCACTTTCGAGTTCAATTCTAGATTCGTAGATAGTATTCAACTAGTGATCAAGCAATCAAATAATTAAGTGCAGGATTGAATAAATAAACTAATACGACAAATCAAGAAATCAAAATCAATATTCGAATAACAATATTCATGAAAGAACCACAACCCTGGAATGTGAAGTTTAGCTCCACATAGACATGGTAGCAAAACAACAAATCATACAAAGAAACATAAAAATTACTAAGATTGGTGGAAGAAAGAGGAACTTGATGAATTCCGGCCTCCACGGCGGCTCTGTGCTTGTGTTTTCCTCTCAAAAACGTCCTCCCCCCTCAAAATAGGTTTAGATTGGCTTTTATATGAGTTGGGGCGTCTTAGGGACGAAATAACCGAGTCCTAGTCGAATTAGGGTGAGTTTGCGTTTTGAGCGTCCAGGGCAGCGTGGGGCCCTGGCCCTGGCCCTTAACTTTTCAACATTCTGTAAATTGCGCCACAGCCACCGCCCCACGCTGGCTGTGGCCCTCAAATTTCACTTTTGCCTTTTCTTCCCAATTTCGCTCCAATTCGCGCCATTTAAATTGCATCTGAATGATTCCTACACATAGAAATACCACCATTTAGCACAAATCATATTAAACATCTCAAATCTACGAGACATGAGGAAAATGTGAGGCAGTATACATCAAAATATGCATGCATTAAGCCAAACATCACCCGTCTATTTATTTAACTTAGTCATCTTGACCCAACTCATCTCAACCCATTTAAAGTTGAGCTGATTTTTAGCCCAAATTGATCGATGAGTAACTTTGCCAAAATATCTTAGAAATAACTTTTTTTGGTTGGATATATTATATATGACAATAACAAAAGAAAAAAAAATCTTATTTAGTAATCATACAATTCATAAGAAAATAACACATATTAATTAGAGCTTGGTATGAGGGTTGAGTTATAACGCAAATTTTAGTCCAAGTAACTTTTTGGGCAGGTCATTGACCCGTCCATTTATTGGTTCAACTCATTTTAACCTGCCAAAAATCAGCTCAATCCGCTCACTTGACGCTCCTCGTTTAATCCAATCAGTCGAAGTCTAAATAGGTTGAACGGTTTGTACTTTCATTGGCACCATAGCCACAATCTAAGATTCATGACCATCCCTCTTGCAATTTCAAAATATTTTCTATCTAACAATTTCTTCCAAAGTTTTACATACTTACTTTGTGCACAAAACAAAAATCAAGGGTTTCCTCTAAAGATCACCTTGTGGGACTTGGAAGACACATGGTGAAGCAAACTATTGTCATATTGTAAGTTAGCTTGTCCTAACTCCTAACACTATTTCTCACGTCATTTTGACAACTTTTTAGGCTTGTTTTTTATGCAAGTGTTTATGTAGCTACTCGACTTCTCCACCCCTTGTTTTCTCTCTTGAGTTTTTTGTGCCCTTTCTTTGTCACCATTTTCTTTTGCCGTGTTCCATACTTGCGGTTAGTAGTAGAGTCAGAATTTTATTAATGGGTGTCAAATTTTTAAAAAGTAAATATATAAAAAAGTATACACAATATATATACATAAAAAAATACTTTTTATCAATTTAAACAATATATTTTTCTGGAGAACGACAACCCTTGGAGCTATGTAGCTCCGCACTGCTCGTAGTCGGGCCCGATTAAATCAGAATTCGTGCAGGAAAATCCTACATTGAAAATAAAGCGTTCCCTAACAAATATTTCGGACTCAAATTCGAGACATCGGATTAAGGGTAAAAACAGGAGTAGTATTAGATATATGGACCAGCTTCAAATTGGTCACCGTCTTCTTTCTTTGCTCATGTTTTTACGTTTTTTCCACATTAGCTTTCTTTTTTATTATTCCTTCTTTGTTGTAAACAATATATAAATAGGATGAGAATTCCCTATTTCATCTGTATCTTATAAACAGATAAAGAATCCTAAGAAACTAATTCAAGGGTCTTTAAAAGGAAATCAGTTAATGCTAGCATTTAACCATTGATAGAAAAAAAATTAGTTACATGAGTTTATTAATTGTTACCATTAATGTTTCTCCGTTATATCCTTTCCACTTAATTATTTTCCTTTTGTCCTTTTTCTTCTTTTTTCCTTTTCCTCTCCATTTTCTTCAATTTCAGGGTCCATCTAATAATTATTTTTCTTATTCTAGCAACTCTTTTACTCTATTTCTTTCCCTTTTATTCCTTTTTTTTCATGTTCAATGACTATTCTTTCTTGTACTATCAAGAATTTACTTCTATAGCTTACTCTAAAAATTTTGTAGAATGATAGCTAGTGAAAAATAGATTTTGTTCTCTTTGTCAACTCTAATTAATCTTAAATTTATTATTCTTATCCAACTCTGGAATAAAAGTCTCTTGAGATTATATGAATCTTCAAACACTAGCATTATTTATAGTAAAGACTAGTGAATATTTATCACTAGTTGCTTATTGATTTAGAGTTGAAAAACCAAAGAGAAAACCATTTTTCTTGTATTTGTGGTGTTATATCAAAATGTCACCATTTTCAATTGATTTCTTGTCAACAAGAAGGTCAAATCTCCAGAGTTTCCTTCAATCTGTGACACCCATTGTCACTTCAAAACCTCTACCAAGGGTAACTATTTTTAATTTTATTTTTTTGTAATAAATCTTTGTGCTTTAGTTTTGGAATTAATTTTTAGTTCTTTCAACCCATTTTATCCATTCATGTTTCTGTACTTTCCCAGAATTTTTTACATCAAAGACTTGTTTTGACTACTTGTGTTTTTCCGTTTCTACTATATTCATAGAGACATATGATATGTCCAGAAATTCAAAATTTCTGTTTTTTTTTAAAAATCTGAAATAGATTATATATAGACGTTTTTTTTTTCAGAATTCAGTTTGAAAATTGATCATTTTCTTAATTAGTTTCTTCTCCTTCTGTTGTCTGGTGAATTTTTCAATGCTACAGTCTCTGATCAACAGCTTGTTTCCTATATCAAAACATCAATCTTTTTATTTTAATTTCTAAATCTGCAGAATGGTCTCAGATTTTTTTCCTTTTACGGCCACATTTTTTTTAAAATTTTTTAATTTTTTCCAAAAAAATGTTTTTTTTATTGAGGAAAATGTTTTAATTTTTATTGGGATAACACGAATTGAACCGGTAACGTTTTATTGTCAATAACAAATGTGCTACCACATACTCAATTGATCTACAATAGTGTCATTGTTGAGAATTCGTGTTTAGTTTTCTTTTAAGTTGTTATTTTTTTCATTTTCTCATAGTTTTTGATGTTCTTTTTCTCCTTTTGTGCGTTATGTCTCTTACTTTCTTTTATAGTTTTTATTTTTTTTTTTGTGCTAAATATTTTAGAGTAACATGGATGAAAGTAGCACGTGGACTTCAAATGGTGATGAATATTTCACACTTGGAGATTTGTGGGATTGTTATGAAGAATGGAGTGCATATGGTGTTGGTGCTCCTATTTCTTTAAAAGATGAGAGTGTTGTACAATATTATGCTCCTTATTTATCTGCCATTCAGATTTACACAATCAGATCACCTTCTACATTGAGGTATGAACAGAATACATTTATTTCTCTTTTCCTATTTTCCTTTGAGGCAAATACAAATTTCCAATGTTTATCGTTTAGTGTAAAAGATTGGGTGAATTATCCGGTATATTTTTTGGATATTAAATTAAGTATAAGCTCAAGTCAATATTAGTTATATCAAGATCATGGTATAATTTATCCCAGGTAGGATAAGTTATTCAAGTTTTAATCCTGGTTGGCTGGTTATATATAGGGGTGTACAAACCGAACCGGTAAACCGCACTAAACCGAAAAGTCAAACCAAACCGATTAAAAAACCCGACTAGGTTTGGTTTGATTTGGTTTGGTATTGACTAAAAAAACTCGAACTAAACCGTCATATAAATATATGATTTCTATATATACTTTTAAGACTTTATATACAATTTACTTTAAAAATTATCTAGAAATATTTGAGATTCTCTTACGGGATGTAATATTTAATAGAATATGAAGTGCTTCATTTTTTATTAACTTTAAATAATATGTTGTATGATCACTTTCTTATCAAGTGTTATTGAAATGCGACAATCTCTTTGTTCTTCCTTATTCATATGTCAAGATATATTAAATTCTTATATTTTTTTCGTATTTGAAGTGGTATTTCGATAATTAAAAATTAAATAGAACATATAATTATTCAGGTTTATATTTAATTATTAAATTCTATTAACCTTGAAAGTGTACATCAACGAAAAATTATTGTCAGATAACTAAAAAAACAAGTATCATGTTACTAAAAAAATTATCTCATAAGAATATTTTAATAGATCATATGTTTATCAATTTTTAAATTTTTATTAAACACATATTTACATTTCAAAAAATTAACAAAGTAAGATTGACATTGTATTCATGTAACAAAAAAAACCAGAAAAGCCCGAAAAATCCGACAAAAGCGAACCAATCCAAACCGATATAGTTGATTTGGTTTGGTTATAATAAAAATCGATCCAACCGGTGCATGTACACCCCTAGTTATATGTATCCCGGATTTGAACCGAACACTAACATATTTGGATGACTAACACGTTAGTAGTCTCTTACAGTTTTAAGACATTTATTTCAAGTCCCTAATGTGTGTTTCCTTTGCAATTTGCACCGTACCTTTTTTTTTTTTTGTGATTTGTCCCCCCTAATCTCATAGGTGTACAGAAAATCATGCTATTAATTCGAACATCTCATAGAATTAGTGACTGTGTGTAAGGGGCAAAACCGTTTTTGATAGGGATAATTTGCACTATTGAATTTGATCTCTTCTTTCTCCATAGTCTGAAATTCTAATATAAAAAGTCAAAATTTCGATTTCATCTCTATGTTATCTTACTTATCATTTATCATATTTAATAAGTTGTTAATCTTATTTAATTACTCTATTCTAGTGTGTTCATTTTATATCTTTTGGTGTCACATGTAGCAAATGGGAATACACGGAGATGTAATAAACCACATGAGAATAGGTTCACAGAAATTTAACTATCTTCTCAATTTTACCTTTTATAAATTGCCGTAGGATTCTCAGTTATTCTCGTTGTTCAGATAAGATTCACATCGCCACTTCTCTCCAAGCATAACTCTTCCTCCCTCCTCCTTTGAGTTCGTGAGATTATTTTTTTTAATTTAATTAATAACAAAAATTAAATACAAAGGAGGGGGATGAGCAGAGACGGAGCTAGGATTTGAACCTTATGGGTTCGAGATTATAATTGTTTTAAGTTACTGGATTCTAAATTAATAATTTGTACGTATACATCGGATTTTTAATACAAATAGAGGGTTTGAACAAAAGTTACTGGGTTCAGTCGAACCCGCAAATAGCACTGTGGCTCCGCCCCTGGGGATGAGTTCGTGAGATTCAATCTAATTCATGAATACATTACTAAGTTTCATACTAGGTCCATAATATAATTCAGTATCGTTTCGTATACCAAATAACTACTCCCTCCGTTCCAATTTATGTGAACTTATTTGATTGGACACGGAGTTTAAGAAAAAATGAAAACTTTCGGAATTTATTTGATGTGGAGCTCTTTTACTTTGTTTGATGACCACTTTTACTTTCTGTAGAAACTCATGTGGAGAAGAAGTAGATGGCACTGATTTTGAGATGGAGTCTTGGAGTGATGCAAGTGACAGTACGGACAAGCTCTCAAGGTCTTTAAGTAATAACTCCATTTCTGCAGATTCATGTGTTGAGGTGGAGGTTTCAAGAGATCGCTTGGGCTATCTCTATTTTCAGTATTCCGAGATATGCACTCCTTATTGGAGAATTCCCTTTGCAGACAAGGTACACAAACTTGATGCTCTAACTACTTTTGCAATTTCAAATCAATTCTTGATTATAATTGATTATTTATGCTGGTTGCACAATGTTGCAACGTCATTATGTCTACTGCATATTCTGTATTGTTAGTTGTACTTATATAGGGAATACCAGGGTTAATTAATAACCTTATTGGGCCTTAAAACACCCCTTATGGGTCGATCTAAAATTTCCTATGCACGATCATTCTATCGCATGAAAATTATAAATATTAACTTCGGAAAAAAAAAAAAACTTCTTTACTTAGGTGTCGTGAGTATTTTCTTTTTAGTTAAAATGAATTGGTCGTACTCGTACCTATCTCTTTACTAAGTTAGTACCGCTTTTTGATGAGTGAACCCATACCGGAGCGAGTGCACGCTAGATCAGAGCAGGTTAGTTGGCCCTTTATATGGTCCATCGAATAGTGCATGTGAGTTTATCTCCACTTCAAGTGGACAGAGGTTACTTTGCTGTGGTAGTTGTAGCCATGGTAGTAATGCCATAAGTTCTGCATGGACTATTGAAGAGAAAAACACGTTTTTTCCACAGCCTAATATCCCATGGAACTTCTGATGCTATCACCCAGCCCAAGCCGGTCGGTCGGTTGGTCACGATTCTCTATCGATTTGTTAGGGTGAAGTACATAAATAGTCCTTAGAGTCGATGGTTTTTGAAATTTTGTTTCCGTTTACCTCATAGGCAGAACTTCAAGTTTAACAAGTGTCGCCCTCAATTGTCGCATGGGCTACATTTTTAATTTTTGACCTTAAAATACTGCCCATAGAAAAAGCGAGAATCAAAATTAAAGAACACTCCAGAAAGTATCGTATTTCTGCTTTTTTTTTTTTTTTTTTGGATTTGTTATTAGAGAACCCATTAGTGTTGAGTTTAAAGAAAAAAAGAACATGCGCACAAACAAAAAAAGGAAAGGTCCCAAAGAAAGAAGAAACACAAAAAAAAAGTAAAAGGAAAAGTCTATATTAGCCCCTATAATTTCAAAATTTTCCAATTTTGCCTTTCATTACACTTCTTATTAATTTATACCATTACTGTTAACAAATCGTCTTATCTTTCCCTTACCATTAATGGAGCCCCGGACTCCACATGTTCAAATTCTTCGAGAAAAAAAGCTTCAAAATTTACCCCCCCAACTTATGACTAGAGTTTAAACTACCCTTAGATATAAACTCTGTCAGGGGTCAAGGGCCGAAACGAGATTGTTTCCTAACAACGAGGGTAATAGTAGACCAAATTGCTCAATTTCCATTAATACATGGACAAACGTGACTCTTTTCCCTTTAAAGAAATTTTCGTTTAGCGGGTCTAGCTAATATTGATTGTAGTATAGGGGTAAGGTTTAGAAGCAAGTTGAAGACTAGTGCTTCAGCAAAATATTGATGTATTGATATTTCAAAGCTTTGTTATGGCACGAAAATTTTATTAATTCCCAGTTACAAGCTAATATAGTTATTGGCTGCTGTAGATCTTTGAATTATCTCAGAATTATCCTGGACTCGCTACACTAAAGAGCACTGACTTGTCTGCTGCAAGTTGGATGGCTGTTGCTTGGTAAATATTTTTCTTCTTATTCTTATTTTTTCACTTTGATATAGCTCTAGGGAAAAATGATAGAGAAATGTATTCTTTGTCATGTTTATTTATTTACACATTTAAGTTTTTTGCTTTGGGTCATTATTAGGTATCCAATTTACCATGTTCCAATGAAACGAATTGTTAAAAATGTCTCGGCAAGCTTTCTTACTTACCACACATTGTCGTCATCTTTCCAAGGTATGTACTCTCTACATTGCTCTTCATTCATTTTTTTGTTTTAGTAAGGGTTCTCGCTCGAGTTAGTTTGTGTACCCCCTCCTAAAAAAAAAGCCAGCCCGGTGCACAAAGCATTTCACATTCACACAGAGTCCGGGGAAAGGCCGTACCCCAAGGGGTGTAATATAGACAGCCAACCCTAATGCAAGCATTAGTGGCTGCTTTCACGGCTCGAACCCGTGACCTATAGGTCATACGGAGACAACTTTACCATTGCATCTCTATATTTCATCGAATACTTAATATCTCTCATAAGTGGCAAATCCAAAACTTTAAAGTTATGAGTGCTCGCCGAAAAAAATTCCAAAAGAAGAGGGAAAAGAAGTTTAACTGTGGGTGTTCACTCAGTGTTTATCTAATTTTTTTGATAATTGCCTATATAGATCTACTAAATTTGGTCAAAGGGAATGGGTGCTTAAGCACCTATACTACTCCATGTAGATCCGCCACAAATATCGAATAACTTTGACCACCAAGGCTTAAACAGATGGGAAAAAATCACTTAACGTTTTTGGTCTCTTGATTTTTATCCACTTTATTAACTGCTAGGTCACACCCTTGAGCTTACACTACTCTCTATATTACCTTCATGACAATGTAGTAATTATGATTAAAGTTCCTAAAGTAAATTTTCTACAAATTCACATAAATTAAGCTGATGAAATAACATGTACTAGCTATCTTTAGTTGCACCTGCCTGACTGAGTTCTTTGCTTTCTGTTTCAGATGCTGTAGAAGAAAATTTCGATAGCGGGATTCGTCTTAGTCCATTTGGATTAGCTGCATACAGGATGCAAAATGATATATGGATAAACTCAGATGCACAAGATTATGAAAAACTAAATGATCTTCAGAGTGCTGCAGATTCATGGCTGAAGCAGCTTTCCTTTCACCACCATGACTACAATTTCTTCACTTCACATAATAACATAGAGCTTGGTTTCCCGTTTTGAACTCATTTACAGCCTAGCTCAGGTTATGTTTATTATCTTGTTTTCTTAAAGAAACTGAAATTTATGTACCCTCTTTCTATTCATGTCGTTTTCTCCAAGAAACTGAAATTGCTGCACCCTCTTTCTATTTATGTGAAAATACTTTTGATGGAAGAGAGTTATTAACACCTATTTCCCTTTATGATCTGAGAGAATTCCAGCTATATTATCAAATCATTTGAAATGCTTATAAATATCTCAGGGATCGTTTGAAATGCTTAATTATCCCGGGATTGTTATCCCACCCTCCCATAGGGAGAAAAATAACACTACAATTCCGAAATTAGTTATACGTTATTTTATCCCAACTAAATGTGGGATAAACTCATATCAAATACTCTCAGGATTAATTATACTTTATCCCTCGTACCAAACAAGCATGCTACTCTATCCACTGTTTGTTAGATGCTACAGTTTTTTCTCTTTGACATGCACCTTTGGTCCAAGGGCCTAATTCAACCAAGAAAGGCTTGTAGACCAGTTGGTGTTATCAATTAGCATCAACACTAACCAAAACAAAAGGATTAAAAAGCACCGTGCTTCACTACCAACAAAAGAAACTTTCCACAATGTTTAAATTCAAAGAGCAACTTCTAACTGAGGTGTTGAACAATCAAAAAGGCGCGCCACATTTGAATATTCACATATCAAAAAAAACTGACTTCGCTATGAGAAATCAGTACACACATCAAAGACTATTGATGCTAAACTTGAAATCTCTTAGTCTACAAACTGAAGTCATATTTCTATATGGAGATTGTAAATAAAGGTTCTTTTCATTGTTTTCTGTTGGCACAAAAGTAGCAATTTAATAGAAATAAGTGGCATATCTTTCTACATATAAAGAAGAAAGAGTCATGTTTTAGCATAATGATATGAAACATTAGGCTTAATGAATAACATACTTTCAAGGTCCTGTATTATTGTTTAATTTCATAACCACAAGAAATCCAGAACAGGCTGAACTAAAAGTTTCCTGCAGATGTTGAGGCCTAGGCTCCTCTCTGATGATAATTTATACCCACATTTTTACACAGGTCATTCTTGTTGAGTTTGCAAAAGTTGGATCAACCAAGTTTGTGTGTGTATACATGTGTAGTCCCTAAAGCTCCACTGTCCTTCAATTTAACTCAGAACACTACCATATCGGTAAGTAGAACTTGATGGTCGCTGAGAATAACAAACCTCAGAACCAGAAATAACGGACATGTAAAATACAACAGGAAGAAAAGGAGGTACAAAATGGATTAGTTTTCATCTACAAAAAGCAACTCAGAACAACATTTACTTACCTATGATTATGATAGATAGTGCGTCAAAATTTTACAGAATGTGTTTAAATCATTCTTCCTTGACCCAAAACTCAATGGCACAATGAAATTCAGAAACCCCAGCACCTCATACTAGTCAGAGACTAAGTTGCGCGGACTCTTCGATTTTGGTGTCGTCCCCGTCCCGATACAAGACAGGGACGGGAGCGAGATACGTCCCGGATTCGGTCAACTGACTTCGGATACTTTGACCGGAGTCCATCGACAAATTTGGGAGAAAATTGGATTTAATGAAATAATAATGTCCATCTCGGAGAATGAAAGATTGAATTCTACAACGTCCCTGTATCGGATACCTGCACCCGAGTCCGAGCAACTTAGGTCAGAGAACAGTCTAAAGTCTAAAAAGATATTCCGCTCATCCAGCACCTTTCACTCTTAATTTCATCATTAGTCTATAACCCCTAGTAGGCATATAACTTCCTTTTTTTCACAGCCATAAAACTGGACAAATGAAAACCTCTAACACTATCTCTAATTTGGTTAGAATAATAAAAAAGAAACACACAACTTTCTCTATAAGACAAACTGTCTGGTAATATCACAAAGCTCGAAGAAGAACTACATGTGAAACAGAAAAGCTTAATACCACATTCCTTTTGAGATAGATTAACGGTTTGACAACTTTTATTTTTATGTATCACTACCCAAACCATGTTCAGTTATTTTATTTAAAGGTAAAACTAATGTATACTTCTACTCTTTGTGCGTGCGGATCCTTTTTGGTATGTTGCTTTTCAGAAACTTGAAAGCTACCAATTACTCTTTTTAATGGCCAAGCATTTTTCATTATCACTAAGTAGCTCAAATTTGGTAGTGGAATTATAAGGAGCCTCCTCAATCTCACTTCTAAACTTGTAAGCTAAAATTTACTCCATTTTCCAGTCATTTACAGTCACTTTCATGCCCAAAAATTCTTCATTATCAGTAGGCCAGCTCAATTGCACTTCAGAAAACAGACTCCTCAATCTCACTTCTCGTACGTCAATGTAGAAAGTTGAATTAAGAGGTTTATTTTTCTTGGATTCCTGGGAAGACTCTATGAGACATGCTAATTTCCTGCAAAAACAACATGGATTTGTGAACCATGCTTATATACTCATCAAGAATTGGCAAGTTTTACGCTAGCTGCTAGGCTACCGCAACCCTCCTCCTCTACCCGGGCTTGGGACCCGCAATGTGAGCAAAATACACTACTCACTCCGTTCCAGTTTATGTGAACCTATTTCCTTTTTGGTCCGTTCCAAAAAGAATGAACCCTTTCTAAATTTGGAAACAATTTAGCTTAAATTCTCAATTCTACCCTTAGTGAAAAGCTTTTATAACCACACAAATACTGTGGACTCCTTTTTGAGTTGTTTAGGACCACAAATTCCAAAAGTCTTCTTCTTGAACTTCGTGCCCAGTCAAACAGGTTCACATAAATTGGAACAGAGGGAGTATATCTTATTGTAGCAGGCGTAGGCTAGAGCCGGACAATTAGGCCCCGTTTGGTCATGAGTTTTGCCAAAATAAATTTGGGATTTATTTTCAAAACTCATGTTTGGCCATAAATTTTGCCCATATTTTGGCCAAATCCCAAATCCCAAATTTCAAATCCCAAAATCAGCTATTGAGCTGATTTTGGGCCAAAATTCCAAAACTTGGGAATTATATACATGTTTTTCCAAAATAAAGTTGGAAATATGTTTTGAAAACGTATGTCCAAACACATTTTCATCTTCAAACCAAACTTCACCCAAATCAGATTTTTCAAAACAAATTTGAGATCTATGGCCAAACGCTAGCTTAGTTTCATTTTCGATATTGGATTGTTGGACTATGCGGTATCCCATTCCATACCAAAAAGAATGATGAAAGGACAATTTTCGCAAAGAATTAAAGCAAAAGCTCAACTGCTTCAAAGATGGAAAATAAAATGTCATGAGCATCCACGATTTCAGAGAAACACATTACTTTGCACTAATAATAACTAAATATTGCCAAACAAGTTCAAGAACAACCAGGCTTACTAGGGCACAAAATTAACAAAGAGATGATAAAATTTCAATGGGTTTGAGATTTAGCTTTACAAATAGAAAAAGGAGGCAACCGCAGCAGAGCTTCCTCTGTCTCAATCGGGTCTGATCTCAGTATCTACACATATAACAAAGCAAAAAATAACAGGTGTCATTCATTAATTAACGAAATAATCAGAGAAAATGCTGAACGCAATTGATAAATATTTCTGAGGGAGAGAACCGCTTACTGGGTCTTGAAGAAGTGGCTTTGTGTCATCTTTAGCGGGTCTGAAAGGGGGTTTTGTTACCTTCTTCACTTCATTTTCGCCGTTCATGTTACTGATATGGATGCTTTTCGTTGAATCCTCGCTTGGCTTCATCTTGTTCAATCTCTGTGTTTTTTTTCTCCTCTCCCTAAGTTTACACTTTCCACTCTTCCAAATTCCCCCAAAAAAACTACTCTCGAGAAGTTTTAAAAACTGCAAAAAAATCTTGACCTTTGCTGAAAAACAGTTTTTTGCAAGAAAAAGAAAACTAAAATATTTTCAAATTCTTTTTCTTAGAGCCCGTTTGCATTAGCTGATTTGAAGTGTTGAAATTAATTTAATAAATAAGTGGTTAGGTGTTTAAATACAAATGCTGAAATTGATAATAAGCTGCTACAATGTTTGATAAAAAAGTGCCCATAAGCTCCTTTTCTATTAAAATGACTTAAATAACCTTAGAACTGTTTACACTTATAATGGCGTAATTTCTTTAAAATTTTAGATTCGAGATCGATTCAAGTACAAAATATTATATTTTTCATTTTATTTTAAATACAACTGTGATTATATAAGATAATTTTATGATAAATATAATTTATTTTAATGATAACCATAAAATCATAAGTTATAATGATTTATAAATTGATAAAAGCTTCTCAGTACAAAAAAAACCTGAATAGAACAAAATATTTGAAGAGAAACAAACACTGTCTTCATCACCACACCACTTAGAAAGCAATACACCAAAAATTTGATATGTCTGTATTACATACAGTTTAAAGATTAATACACAATCACATAGATACAAATACGCAAAGAAATAAAGAATTCGCTTACCTCAAATATTGTCAATGAGAATCGCAGACTTGAAGATGCGGACGGGTTTAGCTGATTTGAAGTAGCCTGAAAAATACCTTTTGTTATCAATCTGTATTGCTGTAAATAAATAAAATAATAATCTTTCCGAAAACAGAAACAGAAAGTTAGTAGAAATAAATTCTAAAAAACAGTATTTGAACTTCAAAATAAATTTCGAAAGCGGTATAGGAACGAATCGAGCCCACTGAATACACAATGTGGCTTTAAGAAAATTATTCCCCTCAAGTACCCGAGGTTCTGGAATATATCCTCCCAGGATAGAACGATTTAACTCACCGGAGTGTTGGTACCAAAAACGCCGATGAACAACGAACCACTCGAAGGCTGTAAAACATACTGGAATTTTTGTGCAGAAGAAGAAGAAGATTATCAGAAAATTTCGTAAGTAAATATTCTGGGATTTGAAGGAATATTTATAGCCAATTTGGTACTGTTTTTGAAAAGGTTTGCAACCTTTCAGAACAGCCATGGCTGTTGGAACAGGTTTGACACTGTTTCAGAGCAGCCATAGCTGTTGGAAATATTGTGGGAAAATTAAAATGGATTTAAAATAATCCGGAAAAGAAAACGGGCCGAACCGGACCGGGTCGCGGGTCATGGGTTATTCCGGATTGAATTTTCGTTAATTAATTTAATTAATTAATTATTTGAAAAGAATTTTGCCCA